TTAGTTGGACATTTTTGTCTGTTTTTACACGTGGGACAGTTGCTGACGTCTGATTCAGATTCCACTGAGGAGTACTACATGCATGCGTGGTAGACACTTTGATATGTTGGGGGGGGCATCTAGTTGAATCCATCTTGGCTTGTTTATGTTCCCCGAATCTTATTTGGACACCCAATATTTGCATCTGATGCTGCCTCCATTTAAATTCCCTTGATACAACAAATTCCACGACTAGCTAGTTATATCGATCCAGCACCCAAATGATTCCTCCATCAATCATAGCAAAATCTGTACAGGAAGATACTATTTTGGACGATTTCAGATCTTCTATTTATTTTTATTTTATCATTAAAATTATATTCAGCTAAGGCCGGAGCCACCCTTAGGCTCGGGTGGGATCCATCCCATTTTTGAAAATACAACAATTTAGTGCACATGAGGGTCTGTTTGGGAGTTCTTCTGGAAAGATTAAAAGTGTTTATGATAGGGTTTGACAGAAAAGTTAAGAAGCGTTTTTTGGAAAAGCATATGCTATGTGCTTCTTCATGAAGCTCTCCCAAATGCTTTTCTAGAAAACACTTTATAAAAATTCAATATTTTTATAATAAAATAATATAGATTAAAAACAAAAAAAATTACAGCCCAATCGTGTGAAAACTTCTAGCTCCACCCTTGCCTGAAATCATTATTTCAAGTTGTTTAGATCATTTGAATCTTGGGCCTTTCAGCAACCTGAACCAGTTACAGAATAAAGCAAAATTTGTCAAAGAATAAAGCATGTATATATTTTCAGACTTGTTCTTGTTAATTTTTAATTTTTTAATTTTTTTTTACATACGTAGAGGGTTGGGGGAATGTTCTCTCGTTTAGGCACAGAGGCTTCTGGATCACACTCAATGGTTCTATTCTGTAGTATAAAGCGTACATGAGAATGGTATCTTGTAGAGCTTATCGCTCTTTTCATTCGAAATAGGTAGTTAATTAATATTTTGCTTGAATGTTTGTGTTATGTCGGCGATCTCTAACTCTTTATGGGAATTCAATCCTCATTAGGGAAGAGAACCCCACACCAATAAGATTACTCTTCTGGATATGCAACTTTTTCTACTGACTTAAGCATCGAAGAAGTTTCAATCAACCCGATTTTATTAGGGTTCACCTGTTCAATCAATCCAAACAAGATTAGGAAACGCTCAGTTTATTAACAGTGTCAATCCAGTAAAAACTGCCGTACAATAGCCAAAAAAATGTATACATATATGGTTATCATGCGTCTATAATATTGTATTGTTGAAAGATGAGTTTTTCTTTTAATCTTGTGCGCCCATTATGAAGACAAACTTAAAGCCCTGTTCTTAACTTCTTGCTTGATACTTTATAATTTTTAAAGTTAAAAGCCGTATTGGAAGATGATGCATGGCAAATGGCTGTCAATTTCATGCTGCAATGGCTATTCTTTCGCTATCTCTTGGCACCTGACAAATGTAATGCATTATTATGTGTATATTTTTATAATCTTGTGATCATTTAGCGCATGCCTTGCAAAGTACCTATTTCAAAAGTTTCTCAATTTTCATATGTCCAAAAGAAAAAGAAAACATTTGTTCATTTGCGATTTAAATATATATTTTTCTGGTTGAGAAATGCGATTTAAATATTCAAGCAAACAATAATGCTTGGTTTTATTGTTTGTTCTATAAGCAATAATTGTCCTCCTGTTAGTGAAAAAAACAATATTCTGTCTATAAGTGCTCTATATTAATAATCACACACACCCACATATAGTACACCATATATACATGGTTTTTTCGTACGTATAAAGTCTCTTTTATACAAGCGATAATATAAACTACAAGGAGATGAGAGTTTCTCTCACACACACATACAACCAAGGTGTCATGAGAGACTACTGATGTACAAGTTAATTAAGGCCCTTTTCCACTGGTCCTGTTGGCACAAAGAATAGGTTTTGATTTTGACTAAACAAGATTATTATTATTTTCATTAAACCATGTTGTTAGATAAGATGATCTTTCATT